TATGCTTATGTTTACACGCACACTTTTGTTTGTAATTCTCACTTTAAATCGTACCTATTATAATCCTTAAATATATACTATCCTTTATAGCTTCTGGGTTCAATGCAATGAGATATATCAGTAATACATTAGTATATATTAGTAATTTAGATGCCTACTAGAACATGCATTTTTTTCTTACGTAGAAACAATTAAAACCATGTTAATATGGATTATTACTCAAACTGCATTCAGCTTGGTACTTGCTAGAAATCTGTCAGAAATGGCTTTATATATCTTGTTAAAAGAATAAATGAGAAGACCCAAAACCAGATATTTTTTTCTCTCTTAGGCACAAAAATGTGTAACAGCAAAGTTTCATCTAATATGAAAGAGACTTCTTTCCTCTTTTATCTTTTCTTCCTTCTGAAGTATTTGCTACATTTTGTGAGCAACAGGGCAGAGAGGAGGGGAATAAGACAATCAAACCTTGCACAATTACTTTTTTTGGGTTTGTTACTGGAACATGACAATGTGGGCTAGAATTCCTGATACATACGCTGAGAGGATTGTTTCAGCACACAGCTAACCAAAGATGAATTTACACCAAGTGAAATCTAAATAGAAGGAAGTCTTAATGGCAAGTAAAGTGTGAACACACAGCATCCCACAAAGCTAATAGCCTTTAACCACATGCAAAAAAGTTCCCAAATTAAAGTAGCATTTGAACAATCTTCACCTATTTGCATGTGATAAGAGGTGGACAAACATTTCTTTATGTACAAAAATAAAAAATGAGAAATAAGCAAAAGCTGAGTAAACCACACTGAACTATCTGCAACAGGATAACACAGATGAAATTCTTCCTTTCAGAAAATAGGTGTGATGCAAGCTAATGCTGACCGATGATGTACACATGCACGGTAGGAGCTCTGAAAGCACCACGCCTGACTTGAGTACGTGGCTTGTCAAAGCCAGCGGATGCATGGCTATTCCATCGCTCTTTGCAGGGAGATACAGCGTGCTATTCCCGTAGGACCATGCTGCAGCTGGTCTCAGGGGAGGCTGAAGTACTCATCGTTGGGCAAACCAACAGAGCTGTTATTTGCCCAGCCTGCAGTGAGCACATGGGCCCTAACGCCACTTACAAATGGGGAGGAAAAGACTGGTTTTGTTCCCTCTTCAGTTGACAGCTGCACAAGGGCCACCCACTGGTTCCCAGAACAAAACAGGACCAAGCGAAGGGAGCAGGTGTAGAAGAATGAAGCGTGTATTGTCAGCTCCTGAAATGTCAAATCCAGAGGTACACAGGGCAGTGTCACCACTTGACTGCTCAGTCTCTGAGGTCTTGAGAAACAGAAACCAATTGATAAGAGAAAAAAAAACCAAACCACCAGCAAAGCTGCAGGACGTTCAGGAAAGCAAGAACCTTTTTTAGGAAGAACTAACAGCAGCACTTTCTTCCTTTTACTTTGGAGGAAAAGTAAGAGAATAAATAGTAAGATCTCTGTTTCTAGTACTGCCACTTTTCCTTATTCTAGTTCAAGATCATACGGTGTAAAGTACATCTCACTGGGTCCTAATTTGCATGTCTTCTGGTTTCCTCTGTGAGATCTTCCTTCTCAATGACCTTATCAGAGAAGAAACAAAGGTGAAGCACGTCTTTTGTTAAGGTCCGATGAAGGCTGGAGAGGAAGGAAGAATGGCTTCTTTCCAAACTGATCACAGTAAAGCAATGTTCACTAGTGACCTCAAAATGGAGTTAGTACTGACAGCAGAACATTCATCGGTTGATGGTACAATCGGCCACACCGGGTTTTTCATCCTCTCCCTCCCCACAGTAATGTTTGGGTATGTCCTTGAATGCTCCTTGGACTTGACTTTTTTTTACATGGGCTCAAGTCCTCTGCCAATTTCTTTAGCCTTGGTTTTGTTTCGACAAGTAGCTGAATTCTCTCAAGTACGATCTCCTCACAGTACCAAAACGAAGATGGCATTCGCATCTCCTGCAAATCTTGATAATGTAAATTAATCGCTCTTCTTCCATAAATCTATGGAAGGATTTTAAACGCTGCTACTTCAATTACGACCAGCGGGTATTTAAGTTACTCTGCTTCATGGTGGAAAGGTTCTGCAGTATTTTTCCTTCCCAACAGGAATGGAGGCAGTACCACTGGGCATTGCTGTGCTGCCTCAGCCACCTTACCGTTTTTCATTCCTCCTTCAAAAAACAAACTCCTGTAAGTCTGAATCTTTCTCACAAGATTTCGCAAAGGTTTCAGTTTGTCAATCAGCTGTTAACGATATTTCACAGGCAACTTCTTGAGTGCTGCTGAGTGCTACATTCAGTGATGTACATACTTGTTGCAATTAGGTCACAGATATTTCAACCTTGTTTACAAGTCAAAGACCATGAGTGATAGGAGAAAATAGCCACAGCCTTGTAAGCTGCAGAGTCTGCATCTTGGCACGAGAGCCAGTTATTCTAAAGCTTTCCGGAAGCTAGATCAGCCTGCAGTGTAAGAACAAAATAAGAAAAATACCAAGATTTGCATTCTGGAGGGGAAAAAAAAAGCTGTGCAAGTAAATGCCTTCCTTTCTTGTACTCTGTTCCTTCTTATTGCGGCTTGTTCCTTTCTCCAAACTGGATCAGTGTAGAAATACGGAGGCAACTTTAAGAGTTCTAAACTCATTTTTAATGAGCATATTTCCAGCAATATTTGCAACACTCAAAACACCTGATAACAAAAGCTCACAAATCCAGCACAATGGACTACTGGGAAAAACAGGACAAAAGATCGAGTAAAGCAGGCAAGGGCACTCAAAAAGGCACTCAAGGAGACAGACAACAGTTCAGTGTTTTCGTTTTTTGCTTTCCCAACTACCTTATCTAGTACTAACATAAGTCCTCAGAAAATGCTAAGAGGATACTGCTATATACAAATTCTGGTTTCCCTTAAACATTGTCCAAGCATACTAGTGGGTGTTTGTAAACATTTGAACAAAAAATAAGATCACTCAGGTCACAGACTTGATTCCATATCACATTTCATTGTTACAGTACAGCAAATGAGACTGTTTACTCTTAGCTGCTGTAACCGTTCATTACTGCCAAGTCTGTTAATGTATAAAATTTAGAAGGTGTTTCTGCTATATTTGCACTGCTAATGATTCACTGCTAACATATTCCATCCTAGAAACGCCTCTTCTCATGCACACACTTTCAAGAAGATGAAATTTTAAATTTTGCTGTCGTAGTTAAAGAAACACCAGCATTGAAACCAACGTTACCTTACTATTGGTTACTTATGCAGTGGAAATCATGCCAGGCATACCAAAATCTGCTGGCATTTTACCTGGTGAGGTACGGAAGCGACACTGTCCGGTCATCGGATCATACTCCTGGTTTTCATCAGAGCACAGGCACAGAAAAGAACCGTCAACATTTTCACAGAGAGCTTCGCCACATACTCCACTCAGCATTTCACATTCATTCACATCTGGGGAAAAAAAAATTCAAAACATAAATCAATTCAGACCCATTACTGACAGTTTGTTCTTTTATCTGCTGTATCTGTGCCAATATTGTCTGCCAGATTACAGATGTGATCTCTGGGGAAGGATTAAAAACTCACTAATACCTAAGTGGATTCATAAACAAGTAGTCAGTTCTTTGAAATAAAGGCCCCTGAAAGCCACAGGACAGTTTATAGACTATTGGTGCTGAGTAGGTGCTGCTTGTAGACCAGAACACTGGCTTTCTTTTTTTTAGTTTTTTTTGGGTTTCTTTCTCATTTTGAAATACTTCCTTTGCTTTATACCCTTTTCCTGGGATTTAAGATTCAGACTCATTTCATTTGTTTTCTTAACTTTCTTTATTATCAAACTTCCACTGAACTCAAGGAGCAAAATGAGTAGGTTTCGGTGTGATTCAGACTGCACTACGAAAAGAGAATCCCCTTTTCTCCTCAAAATCCCATTTTCCTCGTGAACATCCACTGAACAGTGAATTCCCCAGCACCCCCCCCCCCCACCACATGCCTCTCATAGGCACGGCCAGCCTCACAGGCTGCGCTGGAACCCACAAGGCTTATGCCCAGGTCACCCAGGTAGCCCCTGCCGAACACTGCAAATTTCCTCGCCCCAAAAACACGCCACATATTTTTAACTTGGATTCCATATACCTGCTAACTTGTCTATCTGGAAATGCTTTTTTGATTGATGGGAGAGTTGTCTGCTGTTTAAACAAGGGTTACCAAATGCAATCAGGATCATTTAACTTTACTCTCTTTTCAGTTGCTAAAGTTTATGTTTGAAAACCTACTTTGTCTATGAATGACAGAATCTGAAAATTGTAATTTGTCTATCACAATTCAGAAATTTCTATCATTGGGAGTGGTCTAAAGTATAACTTGTGAGGCAATATTTTATCCTTTTTACCTCTTATCCAGCAAGAATGAAAATCTAGTCATATGACTGAATGTTGATTTTTGTGTACTTTTATATAAATATGCATTTTAACTTATGGTTTGCTCAACACTTTAAAAATGTACTTAGATTTTTCTTCGTCTTTTTGCTGGATTCCTGTCATAAGGAATAAGTCTTCTTTGGGGAACATTGCCTAGTCAGGAACTGAAGAGACCTACCTTTTCCTAAAATTGTTTTAGTAGGTAACTGGCATCAAAATTTGTAAGAGTACTTTGTATTATGTACTGTATACAAGAAAAAAAAACTAAGACATTATTTTGTGGTGCAGAATCATTGCACTGGCAACTCAAAATTAAATTTAGTTTCACACCAGCTTTTGCTTTCCCTTTTTTTTTTCCTTTCTTTCCTTTCCTTTCTTTGGTATGTTGCAAACTAAGTGCTGAATGGCATAAAATTTTGTAATAGAACTATTCAATATATTAGAAAATACATACAAACACTTCTGTAAAACTTCTAACTCCTCCTCTGTTCAGTATTCCGTTTAGGTCTCTGTTCCTGTTAAATGTGTTTCATCCCGAGTCTGGCTTGAAGAAATTGCTTAATGAATACCTTTCCTTGATCTGGTATTAATTTTATAGCAGAAACTTGCGCTGCCTCAGATGGTTCTCGGGTCCAACCATCGCTATTAACAACAGATCTGGAAACCCTATTACTCACAAGAGAAATGTGCAGTATTTACACATCTAGAAAAATCTCACATCTTTTCATGGTGATAGGTGTCTTTCCTGGAGCTCAAAGCCAACGTTAAATCTGTTCAAATACGATGTACCTAGCGAGGTGTGCGTCTAATTCAGACTGGCTGTGCCACGTGCAAGACGTTATTCGGTGCAGGGGGTAGTACAGAGTTCTGGTTATTCAGCTAACAGACTAAACAGATGTTGCATTTAAATAAGCTGAAGTATTAAATTCAATCTATTATGATTTATATTTGTGAATGGTCCTGACATGCAGAAATGGCAGGTTTTCTTGTTTTTGTTTTTTTTTTTTTTTCAGAAATGGAAGATAAAATGAGTGGCTCGGCTGATTTGCTCTTGGTTTCCATTCAATCCTAATAACAGGTTCTCATGAAATGGATGCACAGTTAAGTTTCCATATGGCACAAAGTTCAGTGAGTAAAGCACAGCCCAACCTCATTTTACTAGTAAGTGGTACAACTTTAACAAAAAATGATGGAGACCAAAAATGCTTTTGTGAAGGAATGTGTTTTGCTCATGTGCCGCTTTTTGCTCACTAGAACCTTGCAGGAATGACTACTTGCACCTGAGAACTCACCCGTACACCCTTGCCCATCCTGTGGGTCCTGATACCCTTGGTAACAGAGGCAGCGGTAGGAGCCATCCATATTTTCACAGAACCCGTGGCTGCCACATATTGTGTCGTTCGCACATTCATCAACATCTGCAAGGAAGAATTTTAACATCAGACAGGCCGTGTGACAGTCAAAGGCACACATTCATGAAGACCGCAGAAAAACAACAGATGGGCCATTTTTACAAACAGATGCAGTGATGTCCCTCTAAAGATTGGGAAGGAAAACACAAAGGACAAGACAAAAATTTAACGTAAGCACATGTACAATTTAAGAAATTGTTTCAGTGTTAACTTTGCAGGAAATATTTTATGTCAGATAATGGTTTTGGTCGACTGTCTCCCATCTGTTTCACCAACCCTGCCAGTCATGGCAGGATGCTACACACCACAGAGTACGACACAGTTTAAATATGACCATCTCCCTGACTGACTTAGAGATTCTGCCAGCGTAGCATTATACAGTCAACAACACGTGTGAAACCGAACCTGCTGTGCCTACAAGAAGAGTTCATGGGTATGGTCGCAGCCATTGCGCACAAGTGCTGCACAGATCTCACAGATTCCAGCTCTTGGCTCGGAAGAGAATTTCATGATGTATGTGTAAGTGGTAAATATCTGTGGACTGAGCCTTCTGGCTTTAATCCTGTAAGTTTACACATATGAACAATCTTACTCAGGTAGGCAAAGTAGTTACGATGCCTGCGTGCTTTCTGTACGGGCCCTTTCAGTTGTATTACACATACGAACAATCTTACTCAGGTAGGCAAAGTAATTACGATGCCTGTGTGCTTTCTGTACGGGCCCTTTCAGTTGTAGTCGCCGTTTGTGGTTTGCTGGCCTTACAAGTAAGAGTCACTTACACGAGTAAGTCTGTTCTCTGACTCAGCTGCCCATCAAACTAAAACGAAGCAGAGCTGCTTGTGGCAGAACATGGCTTCTTTTCGAACAATCTTACTCAGGTAGGCAAAGTAATTACGATGCCTGTGTGCTTTCTGTACGGGCCCTTTCAGTTGTAGTCGCCGTTTGTGGTTTGCTGGCCTTACAAGTAAGAGTCACTTACACGAGTAAGTCTGTTCTCTGACTCAGCTGCCCATCAAACTAAAACGAAGCAGAGCTGCTTGTGGCAGAACATGGCTTCTTTTTGTAAGTGTATTACAAGTGCTAGGAAGTGCTAGGAATGTATTATTTTTATCTTCACTCAAAGTAAGACCTAAACCCAAGGCCCTGACCATCTGTGGTCATTAAGGATGTCATGGTGTGTTTTTCTGGAGGAAGAACATTAACTGAACCTGGGAACCTGCCAGGATACTAGGATTAGTACCTTCTGCCTTCTAAATTCCTCTGCAGTTTCAAGCAGAGAAATTATTGCTATATTTCTTTCCTATAAACCATTATGACTGTTAAGTAAGGTTGCTGTCTGCTTGGAATTACCTTCTGCACTGTGCCTCAGGGGTAATTACATTTTAAATGGTGAATAAAGCGATTTGCTTTTGATTTATCTGGGTGATAGCTACTATCGTTAAATCTGCACATTAGAGTAGACCTTTATGGGATGGAGCCTACCATCATTCTACCTCCAGTGAAGGCCTGAGGCACTCACTGAACTAAAGAGCTGGTGGGACTGAATCCTGCACTGCCCCAGAGAGAGGGCTTCTTTGAACAGGGGAGCAGGTTTGGTGTCTTTCTCAAAGGAGAGAGGAGGGCTCAAACGTAGCCCCATGTACTCTCCAGCTCTTCACAGCTGCGTCAAACAAAGGTCTAGAAAAATCAGCAAAGATGCACCTCGTTCTTCTGACAGTGCTCACCGAGCAAGGACATTTTTACTTTTAAATTGTGTCTCATGCTCAGCTAAAAGGGAATTCTTGGTCTTTGAACCATGTGGTCGCAGCTCCCCACGCTATCCAAGTTGGAGCAGCGTGTCTTCACCATCCACACAGGTTACCTGTTGTGCTGCGCTCTTGCTCCCCAAGTCCTCAAATTCATCACACATGCTTCTGTCTGCCTCAGGGAGGGGCTTTTTGGGGGGCTGAAAACCAGCTTTTCCTATGTGTGGTGGTTGGGCTTTCAACAGGTTTAGAATTGCGTATAGATTTTGGAGGCCAGAAGGGACTACCCATGACCTCTTACAATAGGTTAAAAAACTGTCTCTGGCAGTTTCTGTACTAATGGAGTAAATTGTGGAATTTTAACATCTTTTTCAGAAAGGCATCTAATTTCACTTTAGGATGTTTAAGTGATGGAAAACTCGCCTCTTCTCCTACTGAACTGATCCACTGGTTAACAACCTTCAGCTAAAATACAAAATTCATGCAAAAACTGTATGTATTACATATACTGAAATCTAGGAGACACATATAAGTATAATTGATAATTATTAAAAAAGTACTTGCAGATGGAACTGGCAGAATAATTTATTTGGTTCGTTGGTTTTGTCAATATAGGTTTTAATGGTATTTATATCTTGATTTATTAAACAAAGGAAAATATTGAAGGAATTTATCTTAGAAAGGATTATTTGTATTTGGCAAAGAATACAATAGCTAGTATTCTCAAGGAACCAAATATGAATATTTGGGTGGTTTCTGCATACTGAACTTATTGAAATCTACCACAAACCCTCCCTAATGGACTTAATTCAGCAACAAGAGTAAGCAACGTATCTGTATTAAAGACACAGCCAAAGATTAAAGGTCAAGTATTACCTTTGATACCTTCTCCTTTTCCAGTCATCATAATGACAGAATTATAGAGAGATGCATATGGAATTACTGGGTAGAAGCAGACACAAACTCTTTACAGCCGTGTTTTTCTGGTTCCTACCTCTTGCTGCCGTGCACTATACATGCATAACATACCTTATTTTAATATTTAGTCTCATGTGATCATCAGTTTCACATATCTGGTCAAAAAATCTGAATACTCTACCTCTTATTCAGAAAACCCCGTTAAGAAAAGTTAAGAAAAGGAATTTACAGTAAGTGAGCAATGGCGGACTGACAGCCAGGAATTTAAGACAACAGACAATAATGCAGCATTTGTATTTTCAGTGGCCAACTATAGTTTAATAACAGAAGTTCCTGAGCCATGGGACAGTTACTCTGTTAAAAGCCTAGACAGAAGAAACTACAACTGGGGATTTTAGAATTACCTAAATTACATTATTTCTCTTACTTAATAGCTAAATGTTAAAGGAAACAGATAGGGGAATGGATCCCACAGCTGGTTCTCCAAAGGTAAACTAAGGTCATTGACTAAAATGCTGCAGAAACAAAAGTTGTGATTGTAGCAAGTGTCCTAACTTAGTACATAATACAGCCACAGCAGACGGTTTTGTTTTTAAAAAGTACACAGTCTGAACATGACTGGATCTCTCAGTGTATGGGAAATTGCAGAGAAGGTCCAAGCACCAAATATTTTTCCATGTCTAGACAGCTTACTCAAAGGACTCCTGTTTTACAGCCGGAAAGGGCATTTGTTTCTTTAATCACCCTGTGAAGCAGGAGGCTTGTAATTGGTGATTCTCTTGCTATATGGAGACAAAGCAAGGGGAAAAACTAAATATGAAACTGATCCATCCTATGTCTATACAGTGACTAAAGCAGTTCTCTGTAATTACAGCCTGGGTCAGAATCCATGACTTAGTGCTGCCTGCTTTAATCAAAACTCCTTTGATCTAACACCATCAGGATCTAAAGAAAGGCAAACCATGTGTGTGTTCAATAGCACTCCTATTCGGCTCAACACCGTGTTCCTGTCTCCTGCCAACCTGAACAAGATGAAGGCATACTTTACCTCAGGCGTGATATTTAAATCTCACTGAAATCTGCTTACATGGCAAAGTGTCTGGGAGAGGAACTCTTTCCTAGGACAGTTCTGCACAGTGCTTAGGGGAACAGAGCTCTGATTCTGAGACTTCCAGGGCTGCCCATACCGCCCATGCATAAAAACCACTGTCACAAGAAAATTAGAGAAATGACTATTTGAGTAAAGACTTTGGCCGCATGGAGGCAATAATGCTGGATGGTCGTTCCAACATTGCGATGATGTGGGTAAGAAAGAAATTCTTGTTTCTCCTTTTGTGTTCTTACTTCTGTAGCCAGCATCCAGTGAAGAAGTAGTTGATGCCCTGAAACATCTCTATTAGCACATGTGAGAAGGCTGCTGAAGTCTGTGATTACTCATTGTGACACAAGAAGGTAGCTCACAGGGGCACACTCTGGAGACGCATACTTGAATCTATGCTTGGCAGAAACCTGAGCTTTCTTACTTCAGTATTTAACCCGAGATTTGGTCAAGCTGTGAAGTTGTCCACTGCATGAAATTTACTCCATGTAACAGGTAACACTCTGCCCCAAAACAAGTCCTAGATTTACCACGTCCTTTTCCTAAAGCTGCCTTGTCTTCCCTATATATGGGCAGAATTATGGTTGCAATGTGCAGTTACAGCAAACATCTACTCTCTTAAAATGCCTTCGGTGGCAGAGCTAAGAGTTATGAACTGTTCACAGCGCTGCTCTTTGTTTCCCTGATTTTCAGACTTCTTAGGTACGCAGTCATCTTAAACGATGGACAACGTAGCATCCTTGTGTACGGATTTGTAAATTATTCTTTGATCACAGAATGATCTGGGGGTGCTCTGCGGAAGCACCCAGACGGGTGACTTAATTCAGCAGACAAGGGAAGGAGAACAGGATACAAGACAGTAAATGAGGGGAAAGGAAGAAGCAGAGGTCGGAGGGCTCTGGTGGGATGTGCGAGTTGTTCTGGAGTGCCTGTTGAGGTGGGCAGTGAAGGTCGAGGCTTGGAGTAGAGAGAGGGAAGAGCGAGGGCGCCGCTGAGAGACGGGATTAGACATGGAGATGGAGAGGCGCTTGGGGCAGGGTATTGACTTTAAGCATCAGAGAACCTCTGACTTGAGTTTTTGCCAACACAGCTGAGTAGCAGCCAACTGGGTAAAACACTGCCTTTACAGGAACCCCCGAGAGCTTGACAGGGAGCTAGGGAGCACTCCGAGAGCCTCCTGTTCAGAGAGCCTGGTCCAGCCAAACTGCTGAGCCTGGGGCCAGGCGGCAGTGGAATGTCACCACTAGAACAAAAGTTTGTCTACACCTTGGAAGAAGACACAGTCTCCGCAGCTGTTCAGTTTACTTTGGCCAATGGCCATAAAAACTCCATACCAGAACTGAACCACATGGGGTTCTTAAATGTTTTATGTTGTTGTTGTTTCTGACTTTTCAAAAAAATGAGTCAAACTCATACAGAAACAGTCTGGAGATATGGAAAATCTGCTCCCCAGGTACAGAGAGGTGTCTGAATCCAGCAAAATTTCCTCAGGTTCTTTCTCTGATGGTATAAACAGTTATTCTCACTCACTTAACCAGAAGTAAATTCACAGAGGCACCTTGTGTAAAGAACAGTAGCTCCTGCGGCTGGAAGCCACATCCTTTCTCAGTACCTGGAATGTCACACGTTCCTTTTGTTTCTGATCCTTTCGTTTCGTCTTGCCTTTTCATATGAAGCTGACACCACTACAAATATTAACGTGGATGCCATCAGTGGTCCCTTCAAATGAGTTTTTTCAACTCTCGAATTGTTTTTATTAAAATGACAGAATGGAGAAACTAATCGTGGTAGAAAAGGAGTGCTGCTGCTTCAGAAGACTAGAAGTACCCTTGCTTCGCCAAGTTATTAAAATACTTTTCCAAGTGCTGCATATAAAGTCTGATCTGTATTCCATACACACCACCAATTACTTGTGAAGCATGCTCAACTGGTTTTGTACTTGTTGTTTTATTCTTCATTAACGTTCCAAAACTACTCACAACCCTGGAAATAAGATCCTGTGATTTCATCTTTTTCTATTTAGTAAAAGTTTGGCTTTTTTGTTCTAATGGTGATTAACTTTGTACTACTTTATCACACGTGATGGTAACATTTCTCTGGGAACTTTGCTACTTTATAAACGCCAGAGAACCACACAGAGGGGCACATTGTTTCTGGTACATCCCCTAAAATCAGAAGCCACCAACATTTTTGTTTTCTTTTTGTGTTTTGTTTTTTTCTTTTAAAGTTGTGTTTCTATTCAGTTCTGCCTTTTTTTTTAATTTCTGAGAGTTTGATTTCACAAGGTTAATAACTGTTCTTCTAACTTTGGTTTGGAATAAAGTGTTTGGTTTCTAGTAAGAGCAGGCTGCATTCTTCTCTGACCACTTTTTTTTTAAGCTATGCTCAACAGTGAGGCAAAACACCTGCTACTACTTTTCTTGCAGAGAAACTGAAGATATTTAACCATATCCTTCCTAAACACTGGGTGAAATGCACACATGCTGCCAAAAGGGTCCATGAACATACTTGAAATCACAAAATACTGCCTTGTCCATCGATCACTGGAGTTTTTCAGATTTGCTCTCTCTAGCCTACTTGACCAGGCTTTTGTCTTGGCAGTAAGAGAATGTTTCTTTCAACTTATGCCATGATTACAAAATAAAGTAAATGCTTAGAGATGGAAAAGCATCCAAAATACTGCAGGATTTTTTTTTTAGTTATCAATAATAATTAAAATACAAATAGCATGTTTGATGTCATGCTATATCTAAACATACAACATTATTTCCTTACACCAGTATAACAGTATTCTTGCCAGTATTTCATTTCATGGGCTATTACATTACTAACTATATGGCAGGTTATGTGCTAGCTCAAGTATTAATGCTGTAATGCTGTTTTTCCTCTGGTAAAAGCAGGGAGAGTAAATGCAAGAGTCAGACAGCAGGTTCAATCCGCCTCCTCCACTGAAGGAAGAACCTTTTCACTATCCCTACGTGAACTATGGGAAGAGCTGGCCCATGAAAACCAATCACGTATGGATTTACCGGTCTATCATTTGGGATAGAGAACAGGTTGCTTACTTCTTGGATACCCGAGATCCACTACCCAGAGGTTTTAACACCGAGCTATCATCTGCTCAGCGCTTCCTCCTCTCCGTGCATCCTGCCGAACTACTACCATATAATTTTTCCCCGCTTCTGAACTTTTCCCACAAGGCTTCTTCTCTTGAACAGTCCTCTCCTCCATGAGAACAGCCATGCCTCATCCACTTAGGGGCATTTTTGTTTTCTGTCAGCATCACTGACTACACAAAGTCACGTAACTTCTTGGTACCGTCGAGCACAAGTCTCCTATTTTAAATTCAGTGCGGGAGAGTAGCATCACTGGCAAGTGTGTGCATTCCACTAGCAACAGGATATATTCTCATGCTATAACCAAACAAAAACTGGTCACACCTAAACATACACTTACAAAGAATAAGATGGCTTTAGCACTGTAAAGATCTAATTTCTGCTATTTACTCCATTTCTGCCGTTTCAAAATGCCTGAGGGTCTATCATAGATAGCATTTTACTACAATCTCTCACTGGAGTTACTTCTGTTGTAGGGATGCTTCATCTGCATCTTTTTTTAAAAAAAAGTCTCAACAAGCAAGGTTCTGTTATCTTACACAGCAATGAGAATACTCAGGTAGCTCAGGCTTGCTGCTAATATATGTAAGAAGCTTTAAATTAAATAATCCTAAATATTTATTGCAGGAAGGTCTTACCCATGGAAACTTATCAGAAGCCTGAGTTCCAAACTCACTTTACATGCATTTTATATACATTTGTTCCTGCCACCCTTGCTATAAGATAGAAATAATTTCCCATCTATGTATAGCTTTTGATATTATTACAGATGTCCTCCGCTGGTTTCATATATCTTAACATAAGAATATCATTCCCTCCTTTGCCATCATTTCCCACAGTTAGGTGACTATTCCTTCTTTTTCACTAATTTCTTTTGCTCAAAAAATACAACCCAATTTTAAGACAGCAAAATTATTAAAAATTAAGAAAGGTAAAACACAGCTTGTAACAAACATTAACTCCATTACGTTGCCCATTTTGTATGTTTCCTGTTGTATTTCTTACGATTCAAACAGCAATACGGCACTCCGTACGTTTACAAGAAAAAGAACAAATGGCCCTTAGGTGGCAGATTGCGGAGTCAGTAGTGGTTTTGGGGTATTAGACCCAAAGTGACTACTTTTCTCACCCAACTAATAACAGGAAATCAAATCAATGGGAATGCCTTATTGTAACTTGTCTCACCTTCACATGTTCGGCCATCTGCAGCCAGAGAAAAGCCCCGCTCACATATGCACTGGTAGGAACCATCCGTGTTTAGACACTCCCCGTGAGGTGAACAGAGGTCAGATCTCTCACATTCATTGATATCTGAAAACAGAGACAATTAATAGCTTTGAAAATCATCATACCCTTAATATTAAGCCTAAGTTCAACCAGTCTTAAAAGCAGCTTTTATTTCCACCAGCTACATAAACAGCTCTGTAAATGAGGCTTGTTTTCCAGACTAACCAAATCTTCTGAGATCATTCTTAAACACTGTATAGGCATCAGTGTGTTCTGCTGCATCATACGCTCACTACGTCACTCTCGGCAGCGAGGATAAGCAGATGAGAGTGATTTGTGAGACATCAGTATAAGCTCCATGCTAGCCAACATTTCTTCTCCGTTAGGGTAATTCTCAGGGGCCTCCGTCACACTGCTTTTTGATTGCTGCATGCTGGTCAACTCGTGCACCTGGCTCCATGTATTACCAGCAGGTCTGGAGTTGCATCTTTCCCAGTAGGTTGATTTTACATAATTTAAAGCCAAATGCTCTTTTTTGCTGATGCGGAATGGTCCCAAAAGGTTGCTACATAAAGGTCTGTCAACATTGCTTTTTTTTTTCCTAAACTTAGAAAGCATTTTTCAAACAATGCCTTTCAAACTCGTGAATCTGAAAAAAAAGCATTTCTTTCTGATTGAACAACAAAACCTGCCATCAGAACTTAAGAACTGCATTCATTCAGTAAGGAGGTACCACTTTCACGTGAATTACCATTCACATTGTAATTGCACTTTTGTATTTTGCTTTACAAAAACCTATCAAGAAGTTTTCAGTACCATGCTGAGATCAAACACAAATTTACAAACAAAACTCACACATGTGGCTCATTCATCCACCATCACAGATACTAGAATTTCTTATTCTTAACTGTGTCTGTTGTTGTTTAGGTTCTGGCCCTTGTTACAGCCATACAAACTGCATCAAAGCAGACAGTAACTTTGATAGACTAGGGAAATTACGATTTCAGTACCAAGATTTCAAGACGCCTGGCATCCATTATAGCATTTTCTTTAGATACGGACTGATTTTGCCCTGTGGGTAAACCTTCTAGGCCAGCGTCCTGAAGTCATGGCACATATGTGGAAAGAACAGAGGCAGCTCGAGGAAGGGTAGTATCTCCATGAGGTGCACAGGGAAAAGTCAGCACGCTCTGCTTCACGCAACAACTCCATGTATAAAGTTTTCTCTGAATTCATAGTAAATGCAGACCAGTGGCACACTTCTGGAAGTTCTCTGAAAGTCGGGTGAGGTGGGAGGTCAGCAATGACAAGGGCAGTATGGTACCGCCTCAGGACTGTTCTCAAGACTAAGCTGTCAGTTTCTTAAAACTGCCAGAAAAATCTGGAAACCAAACCAGCTGATTACGCAAGGTAGAATGATGTATTAAAAGACAGGAAAACAAAATGAACAATGCTTGGGAAATAGAGTATCATTCATCTGAAAGAGCAAACTGCACACTTTCTAATGTTTTGGACTCTTTTCAACTTTGCTCCTTACCAAAACGCGTGTTCCTAATTTCTAGTCTAGTCCAGATTCAACTTGCAGACGCTGCATTCTGTGATAAATCTGCCAGTTTAATTCAATAACTCTCTCCTTTCAATTATGGTTTCCTTTGAACGTAATAAGGCTATGATCAAGTCACCTCTCATCTTTTTCTTCAACAAAACAAACCGTTTAAAAGCATCCAATCCTTTTTCCCCCTCAGGCCATCAGCTTTTTTGGGTTCATCTCTGACTCTCCTCAGCTGATCAGCATCCATTTTGAATTGCGGGCACCAGAACGTCAGCGTACAACAATGTGCCAAGAGCAGCTGTACTGGTGCAAAATAGAGGTAAAAAAACCTTGCTTACTCCTGCTGGATATGCTGAGTTTTCAGTCTTCTGGGGAGCGCGTTAGTCCTACCGGCCACCGTGTTGCCCTGGAAGCTCATATTGAGCTGACCCCTAAACCCTTCTCAGTGACTGTGTCCCAGAAGGAAGTCCACTGTCCTACCAGCATGACGGAGATTCCTTCTTCAGTACAGAACTGGACATAGTCAAACGCATATTGTCTGCTCATACCCAGTACACCATGTGATCGAGATCACCCTGTTCGTTTGGCCTGTTACCTGGATCTTTTACCATGCCTCTCATCTCTCCAGGTAAATTCTCTCAAAAATTTTATGTTTTTTCTTGCTGTTACAGGACTCTGATAGAACCAACTTTCAGTCATTTAAAAATGTCTCAGTTTAGCTGCTGCCTAAAATATTTTGAAGGTACTGTTGAAATGTAAAGAAGTCATCATTTACGATACAAATATGGCTAGTTTTGTCCAGAACAAAATACAGGACAAGAAAATATACTGAAAATTTCCATCTTTGACAAATGAAAATTCTACTATTGCATCCTGTAACAGCTTAACAACAAGTAGCCAACACAGTAAGAAAAGTCTAGCCATACTTAATTCTGCTAGCCAAACATCTCCCTTTATGTTCGTTTGCTATGTTCAGTTCTTTGCTATTGCAACTTGTCAGTATTCATTGTATCAACTCCTCCTTTTGTTTGGATATTGATCTGGCTATTTCTCAAACAGTTTCACGCCCCTCTACAGCAAGTTGTTACTTTTCAGTGTTGGTGGTCTTCCTTCTCAAGTGTGGTGCTCTTACCTGAAACGATTTTCAATTTTCATTCACATTTTTCTGTTAAAAATACTGTCTAAACTGACTGTCCCTTAGTTGGCTCATAAGTGCTTTCAAGTTTTGTCATATTTATCCATTTAAAACACCAGCCTATATACTACTACTTTACATAGTGGAGCGAAGAGAATAGAGTGGTATCAAAGCTGGCATTGATTTATAGCTTGTGATCAATTCTTTTATCTGCCAAAGCAAGGTCTAATACATCCCCTCGTATGTTGAATGCAACATTTCCTGAATTAGAAAGCAGTCACATAGAATGCTCAGAACTTTTACAGGGAATTTACTGTTGGTTGCACAAGATCTTCAACACAGATCAGCTGGAATACAGTCTCTCAGCTCAAGTCTAAACTGTGCATAAGGGAGCAGCCAAAGCGAAGTCCAGTCTCCTGATGTTCCAGCCATTGAGAGCACGAACACGCTGTCGCTTTCCAGCTCTCATACCATGGTTCTCGTCTCATAAAAACGGATGGCAAATGGGAACGGTGAGGCATGCCTGGGTGTTGTCCCAACATGGAGTCGGGATCGTTCAGAACTAAAACCTGGGAAGTATTTTTCTGGGTTTGGCAATGCCGACTCAGCCTCAGATAACAATTCTCTTCCTCCCCACCCATCCTCCGCAAAACACTGCCAGTGTTTTAGAGGTGAGAGAGGTTCATCTAGTGTGACCTGATGCTAACTCCCCTGCTCTTTCTGTTACATCACTGATTCACAAACATAGAAGGTTCTGTCAAAATAAACATCACCAGGATTTGGGAAAATCCAGGACTGTATCTCTGTTAGTTCTAATATAGATTCTCTTTCAAGTTATGAAGGCAGAGATTTCAGCCTCTTGAAATAATTTCTCAGCATATATTTACAGGGCGCAATATAAAATCAGAAGAATAAGAAAGTACTACAAATGATAAATAAAATTAACTTCTCTTCCTTAGCATGACCTTAGCAAGACCTTAGCATGGTCTGTGACTATCACAAGTTATGCTTACAAACTGGCACATTTATAATAATGATCCAGATTTTTTTATAACTATTTCATACCTTGACATCCCCTATTTGCTATCTGCTGGAAACCATCTGGACAAGTGCACTTGTAAGACCCGTCAGTATTCATGCAGTTTCCTCCAAGGCAAGTATCACTGTCTTGAAGGCATTCATCAACATCTGAAATAAAAACGTAACTGAATTATTAGATGATGTAAAAACTGATGAAACTTTTAATAGTGATACTTTAATACTAATCTAGCAACTTAAAGCTACAGTACCCTTTAATAACTGTGTGTGTATGTAGAAATCACGTTTACTACACTTTAGGATGTCCTTTTAATGTCCCTTTCATCATATCATCGAACTTCTTGTATTTCTAGAGACCTTTAAAATTTGAGTTTGTATGTCATTTATTCCTAGCAAATGTGTCTAACGTGCCATCTGCATCTCTCACGAAAGCTATCATAACAGATCTTTATACCACTCTATGTACCTTTTTATATGTATACATCTATATATCTTTACAGCGCTGTACTGTAACGGTGACTGTGGTGTTCCAGTAATGCAGTTCAAAAGCAATCCAAGCTGTACATTTAGAAGACAGACACAAAAAATGCCTACTAATGCGAATTGGCACTTTGCAATATGCATCTTTGGACATGTTTAGACTACAACACAGGGATCCCTGAGCCAACTCAGACATTGCCCAGGGCACGGGCGAGCCCGGCCGTAGCTGCTGTGTCACACCGGACTAGACGTGACCGTGGAGAGTACTCACAAAACAACCATGGGGACAGGAGGTTCGCAGGACAGGGACCACACTGTGCTTACTGCTATGTTAATGGTTATTTTTTCATGCAGTTTATGCGATGCAATACAGCCATTTTGCAGGCTTAGCAGTATGGTCATGGAGCTGAGTAGCTGCTTTTGCACAGTGCTATGCCCAAGCCATAACTCCAGCTCCAGAGTCAGGGCAGGCAGGGTCGAACTCCCAGCTGTCTACACACCACGTTCCCAGCATCAGCCCTCAGGTCTCTATCGCTCCCCTCCTCAGCTAGACAGGGGAGAGAAAATATAACTAAAGGTTTGTGGGTTGAGATAAGGGCAGGGAGAGATCACTCACCAGTTACTGTCATGGGCAAAACAGACTCGACTTGGGGAAATTTGTTTATTTTATTTCCAATCAAATCAGAGAAGGGTAATGAGAA